TTTAACTTCTTGTTGTATCTACTGCAGAAAAGCAAGTGTGTTTTATAGAAGAGTTATCATCAGAATAGGAGTTGAACACCAAAATCTAACGACAGTTCATTTCATGTCTACTCACTACAAGTTGGATGATGATAAAAGTTGTCCGCAGTTTCTTGAAAAGACTTGTCAGTTATAAGACTTTCTTGCTTTGTGATTGACATTCTTCTGTTTAGGGAATATAGTGCAACTGGGATGCGTTTTGTGTCCAAGCTAAGCTGACATTGATCGTTCAAATAACTTTTTTGAATAGAACGTATGTTTTCTTCTTTGTTAGTTGCGTTTGTTGTACGGTACTATATTTGTGCTTGGATTGAATATATGCATACTGCTTAGCGCGAGTTCCCTATGAACAAACTTCATTTTTCCTGTCCTTTTTCGGTATCCTTCTGCATTTTGTTGCAGAACTGATGAAGACGGGAAATGGTTAATATGGTTCTTGGATCCGATACATTTCCAAAAATTTAAAAGTTAAGGAAAAAAAACAAAGGATTTGTTGGGTGATTTGGTTATGGAAACAAGTAATTCATTTAATTTTTAAGATGAACCTCTTCTGACCTATGTTTCATTCAACATAAGACTATTGAACTTGTTTCAATATCAGTATTAAACTTGCTAGTTTTTATGTACTTTTGAGTAATAGATATAGCACTGTCAAAACGGGTCATGGCCCGGGGGCTGGCCCATCCGTCCGCTGATGGGGTTCGGTTGAAGCTCTCCATTCACAGTAAGATTGATTTGTTTCAAATAAATGCAGAGCTGATCATAAGGGAAATGGCTAATAAAATGAAGGAAGCCATGAGTGTCTTACTGTTGAATTTTAAAAGAAGACGTAAGAAACACAGACTGGAGGCAAATTGATGAATATTCTTCAAGTTGATGGGCCAGATTGTTCGCATAAAGATTAACCCACGGATTGAAGACATAATTTCGTCCATGTCATGTAGCCCAATTGAAGTGTCCATTATTTTGTCTATTTTCAGCATTTGTGAGACCAAAATGTCTCTTAAGTTGTCCTAGAAGTCAAAGGGTCATTCAAAAGTCATGTAATCTTATTTATGTGGTCAAAACTATGTTTTTAGTGCTTAATGAGTCCCAAAAACGGGATTAACTCATTAGCACAATTTGTAGCCTTTAAAAAGGCCATTTTATATTTTAATGATAATTATGAACATTGCTGAATATTAAAAGATCACTTTTGTGAGTTGAATTCTCTTTTGTAGAGATTCAAATGTTTTAAGAACTTATCAAGATACTTGAGCAAGATCTTGTGGCGTTCACCATACCGAGGTTCCTAGTTGATTATATAGCTAACGGGTCGAGGTTTTCAAGCTCTAGGTACGATCAAACTAGATCTCCGATCTTGGATTCCGCTGCCTACATATACGTTTGGTTCTTGGATCAATATATCCAATGGGTCTCACGTGCTATCCGTATCATCCGCCTAAATGGACGGGTTTGGGCCTTTTCTTGGCCAGCCTGTTCAATCGCTGGCCTATTTGGCCCGCGGTCTAAAGCAGGCTGGGAGGGGCTGGCCCGCGGTCCATCCCATTTTTTTATTATTTATTTATTTTGTTAATTTTATATTATTTAAATTTAGTATTTCTTATTTTACTTCTATTGATGGACTTATTTATTTTGTTGGATTTTGTCTTTATCATCTTTTTTTTTTCTTACTTCTTCTTCTTCTTCTTCTTCTTCTTCTTCTTCTTCTTCCATATTTATTTATTTTATATTTTTTAAAATTTGACAATGATATTAAGATTTGTGAATGCACGTGAAATACTTTTTTACATAATAAAAATATTAATGAATCAAATAATATTTTATGTGAATTAAATCTCTCATCCGCGCGAATACCTTATAACTATTCTAAAAAAAACAAAAATAAAAATCGGATGACAAATATTTAACATCATTACACATTGAGCCTTACTAGTTTATTAATATACTAGTAATAGGATAAACAAACTAAAAAATATATAAGAGTGCATAATATCAAAAAATCCGCGGGCGGGCTGATTTAGCCCGCGGGCTAATGAAGGCGGGCCACGGGCCATGGATTTCCCAGCCCGTAGAGATGCGGGCCATTTTGGCCCGCTCCGTTAAAACCACGGGCCAGCGTGGGCCGGAGCAGGCCGGACCGGCCCGACCCGTTTGACACTGCTAAAGAGGTACATGAACCCAATGGCATTGGAAAACATGATGCTTGTTGAATAAAGTAAAAATGACGAGTCAATCATCAAATTCATATGTGTTATAAAACTTGAGAGAATTGAGGCTACAGAGAATAGATAAACTGTATTCTTTTCGGTGTATTTTTCATTATAATTGAAGCCCCTATTTATAGGAAAACTTCTGATGGTACAATCGTAATAATTCAATTACATCAGGGGCAAAATAGTCATTCACATACATTAAAATATTCTCATGAGGTGCATGCGCACCTTATATTACAACACTCCCCCTTGAATGACTATTTTTAGTGGAATATCCACTCGTTTATAACACTCCCCCTTGGAATTACTACTATTAACTGTGCGTTTATGCTGCCTCGTTAAAAACCTTATCTGGAAAAACCCTGTGGGAAAAAAACCGAGATAAGAGAAAAAGAGTACAACCGCACATGCTCCCCCTCGAGTTATCATCTATGCAAATCTCGAAGATGTCTCATTCCAATATTGTGCACGTGTTTTCGAAAGATTGTAGTCGGAAGCGCCTTCGTAAATAAATCTGCTGCATTATCGCTTGATCGAATGTATTGAACTTTGATTTGTTTGTTTCTTTCAAGCTATTGAGCATATGAGAAGAACTTTGGCGGGATATGTTTAGTTCTGTTGCTCTTAATGTATCCCTCTTTGGTTTGAGCGACACATGCTGCATTGTCTTCGAAGATCACCGTCGGGTCATTATTATTTGATAGTCCACTGGCTTGTTGAATATGTTGAGTCATGTTTCTGAGCCAGATGCTTTCCCTAGTTGCTTCATGAAGTGCAATGATCTCAGCATGGTTTGAAGATGTCGCTACTAATGTTTGTTTCTGGGAACGCCAAGAAAATGCAGTTCCACCAATCGTGAAACCGTAGCCAGTTTGAGATCTTGCTTTATGGGGGTCTGATAGATATCCTGCATCTGCAAAACCGATCATTTCATGTTTTTTATCATTTGAGTAAAACAATCCCAAATCGATTGTCCCTTGGAGATAACGGAATATGTGCTTGATTCCATTCCAGTGTCTCCTCGTAGGTGACGAGTTATATCTTGCTAACAAGTTGGTAGCAAAAGATATATCTGGTCTGGTGCAATTTGCAAGATACATAAGAGCTCCTATTGCACTCATATATGGTATTTCAGGACCAAGTAATTCTTCATCCTTTTCACAATGTCGAAATGGATCCTTTTCAACATCTAACGTTCGATTGACCATTGAGGTACAAAGAGGATTAGCCTTGTCCATATTGAATCGTTTCAATATTCTTTTAGTGTAATTAGATTGATGGACAAATATTCCATTTTGGACTCGTTCTATTTGCAAGCCTAGACAATATTTGGTTTGACCGAGATCTTTCATTTCAATTTCGCCTTTCAGTAATGTGACTGCTTCTTGGATTTCATTTGGAGTCCCAATAATATTAAGATCATCGACATAGACATCAATTATCACAACTCCATCTTGTGATCTTTTTATAAAGACACACGGGCATATTTGATTATTTATGTATCCCCGTTTTAGTAATTGTTCACTCAAATAATTATACCACATACGCCCGGATTGTTTCAAGCCATACAATGATCTTTGCAGTTTTATCACACATAAATCTTTATGTTTGGACTTTAGAGCTTCGGGTACTCTAATCTCTTCTGGGATTTTCATATAAATGTCAGCGTCTAGCGATCCATATAAGTAAGCAGTCACAACATCCATGAGACGCATCTCAAGGTTTTCATGGATGGCTCAACTGATCAAGTATCTGAAGGTAATTGCATCCATAACAAGGGAATATGTTTCATCATAATCGATCCCAGGCCTCTGGGAGAATCCCTGTGCTACAAGGCGAGCTTTATATCTTGTGATCTCATTTTTTTCATTTCTTTTTCTGACAAAAACTCATCTGTATCCAATAGGTTTTATGTCTTTTGGTATAATGGTAATAGGTCCAAAAACCTTTCGTTTATTAAGTGAATCTAACTCGGCTTGAATAGCACCTTTCCACTTGTCCCAATCATGTCTTTTCTGACATTCAATCATAGAGTTTGGTTCAGGATCCTCAACCTCTTTGTCAATTTCTTGTGATACCATATATGCGAATGCATCATCAATATTTATGACCTCATCACACATCCAAAGATCCCCATTGTTTGCGTAATTGATGGACATTTCAATATTTTCATTTCGTCCCGAAATTTTTCCATCATCTGGATTCGTTTTCAAACTCGAGTCATGAAATTCTCTTTTCTTTCGAGGATTCTTATCTTTAGACCCAACTAGTCTTCATCGTTTTAAGCGTGTCTTTAATTCATTCGGCATATTGTCATTTGCCATTTCTTTTGGGATCTCAATTCGAGCAGGGGCATTTACAGCTGCTACATGTGATTTGGTCACCCTTTTTAAATCAGTAAATGCATCAGGCAATTGATTCGCAATATTCTGCAGATGTATGATCTTTTGAACTTCTTGCTCTCTTTGTTTGGTGGGAGGATCAAGATATGATATTGATGACGTTTGCAATTCAATATTTCTCTCAATTGATTTTTCATTTCCACCTAAGGGGGAGAACAACTCTTCATTAAAATGACAATCATCAAACCGAGCTGTAAAAACATCACCCGTTTTTGGCTCAAGGTATTTGATTATTGATGGAGAATCATATCCAACATATATTCCCAACTTCTTTGGGGCCCCATTTTTGTGCGTTGGGGTGGCGCAATTGGTACATACACTGCACAACAAAATACACTTATATGTGTAATATTTGGTTCTCGACCATATGCCAACTGTAATGGCGAGTATGTATGGTGTGCATTTGGTCTTATTCGAATTAGATCATTTGCATGCAGAATAGCATGTCCCCATACTGAAGTGGGGAGTTTTGTCCTCATTATCAATGATCTAGCTATAAGGTGCAGTCGTTTAATCAATGATTCTGCAAGACCATTTTGAGTGTGAACATGTGCCACAGGATGTTCAACATCAATTTCCACTTCCATACAATAATCATTAAATGCTTGAGATGTAAACTCTCCAGCATTGTCAAGTCTGACTCTTTTGATAGTATAATCTGGGAATTGAGCCCTTAATTTAATAAGTTGGGCAAGAAATTTAGCAAATGCCACATTTCTAGTGGATAACAAATTCACGTGAGACCATCTACTAGAGGCATCAATTAACACCATAAAATATCTGAATGGACCACAAGGTGGATGAATAGGTCCACATATATCACCATGAATCCTTTCCAAAAATAATGGTGATTCATGTCCGACTTTAGTATGTGATGGTCTCATTATCAATTTTCCTTGAGAGCATGAGGCACATTTCAATTCATGTGTTTGCAATATCCTCTGATTTTTTAATGGATGCCCACTAGGATTTTCAATAATTCTTTGCATCATTATCGAGCCAGGATGACCAAGTCGATCATGACAAAGTTTAAACATTTTATTCGTCTTTGAATTTGTTGCAGCATAAGTCTCGATTATATTAATCTGGGTGTAATATAAACCCGAGGATAGAGCGGGTAACCTCTCCAAAACACATTTATTTCCCGCATTGTTTGAGTTAATGCAAAGATATTCAACTCCCCCTTTATTCATTGTTTCAACGTGGTATCCGTTCATTCAGATATCTTTAAAACTCAACAAGTTTCTTGTTGATTTTGGGGAGAATAATGCATCATTTACTGTAAATTTGGTACCTCCCATCATAAAAAATATGGCTTTGCCAGAACCCTCAATTATCTTTGCGCTTCCAGATATGGTTTTTACTGTTGCTTTATTTAATATCAAGTTGACAAAATATTTTCTGTCCTTGAGTATAGTATGAGTAGTGGCACAATCTGCAATACATATATCTCTATTTTGGATTCGAGACTAATCCATGATCTAAAAGAAAACAACATTTATTATTGATTAAATTTGAAATACAGATAAAAAGAAGTCCACACACAAATACAACAAAACTTAGAAAGCAATAAAAAAAACATGATCATCAGTTATTCTCCTGGTCATTTCCATCTCTGTCTTCAAACACTGCATTGGCAAAATCCAGTTTCAATATGTCATCGATGCCATAGTCATCATCCACACGTGTTGCATCATTTTCAGAAGATTCCCCAACCATAAAATTGGTTTCTATATTTTTATCTTTTGATTTCTGAGAATCGTTATAATTATCAACAACGTGTCTCGGAGCACGACAATTTCGTGCCCAATGTCCCTTTCTTCCACATCGATAACATGCATTTTCATTATTATTCTCCGTCACATTGTTCTGTTCAAATTTTGGCTGGAAATTTCTCCCCCTTTCATAATTTTGGACATAGTTGCGGCCTCGTCCACGATTGTATCCTCGGCCCGAGTTATACCCTCGGTAAAATTTGTGGCCTCGGCCAGTTTGGCGATCCGGACCATATCCACGGTCACGTCCACGACCACAGCCACGCCCTGAGGTATATCCACGCACATGATTTTGGCTGTTTTATTTTCAGTTCCCTGTCTAGATATTACAGTATTTATTTCAGGGACCGCAGTAGATCCCGTAGGTCTAGATTCATGGTTTTTCATCAGCAGCTCATTATTTTGTTCAGCTAGCAACAAGCAAGAAATCAATTCAGAATATTTCACAAAGCCTTTTGCTCTTTATTGTTGTTGCAAAAGTACATTTGAAGCGTGGAATGTGGACAACGTTTTTTCCAGCATATCGTAATCAGTTATGTTTTCCCCGCATAATTTCAATACCGAGCAAATGCGGAACATTGCTGAATTGTACTCGTTTACAGTTTTGAAATCTTGGAAGCGTAAGTGCATCCAATCATAACGAGCCCGGGGGAGAATCACCATTTTCTGGTGATCATACCTTTCTTTCAAGGCTTTCCAGAGATCTGCAGGATCTTTCACAGTTAAATATTCATTTTCCAATGTCTCATTCAAATGATGTCTCAGAAATATCATTGCTTTAGCTTTATCTTGTATTGATGAATTGTTTGGGGGAGATTATTGTTTCTCCCAACCCCCTTGCAGCCAAATGAATTTCGGCATCCAATGTCCATGAAATATAATTTTTTCCAGATATATCAAGAGCTTCAAATTCGAGTTTGACCAGATTTGCCATGATAACTTTTTGACCAGGTAGAGCGCTCGTGCTGATAACGTGTTATAAAACTAATTGAGACTATAGAGAATAGAGAAACTATATTCTTTTCGGTGTATTTTCCATTATAACTGAAGCCCCTATTTATAGGAAAACTTCTGATGGTACAATCGTAATAATACAATTACATCAGGGGCAAAATAGTCATTCACATACATTAAAATATTCTCACGAGGTGCATGCGCACCTTATATTACAACAATATGCTCAAAATCACTCAGTGGCGGGTTCATGTAACTAGGGTCTTACATTGATTTGTAAATTAGTACATTACGCATCCTAACGTTGTTCATAATCGTGTTATCATCAATAATAATTAGACAAAAGAGATTTGTTAATAAAAACAACATATAAATGTTTGTGACTAAAAAATACCATAATTTTTTTCTTAACATATTGAAATTAAATGCATTAAACATAAAAAAAACATGTGTGATTGGTACGTCAAAGACCTCTGACTGGTTGGAATCGGCCTAATCTTGAGCTCCTCTGCCAATTGAATGCCTGTAGACCTGCAGGACTCTCACACCGGAGGGGTTTTTCGGCGAATAGCCTCCGAAGCTTAAGTTAACACTCGTAGAAGATGAAGTGCAATATGAAAATGTATGTATAGTGAATGTAATGTGATAATGAACATATCTAACTCCCTTATATATAAAGATGATACCTTATTGCCCAAGAGTGCTCAAATGAACTGCCCGATAGTACAACACGCACGTAGATAGGGCCACGTGACCTAATAGAATTGGGCAGTTAAGCTAGACATTATTACTTAATTTTAATTATAATTTTTTAACAAGTTGTATTAGTTAAAGTAATAATATTGGAAAAAAATTTTAATATGCCTACATATTCATTCCGGGGAAATTCATTTAGAAGATCCAAATTTTTGTATTTATATTAATTTAAGACTTGAATTTTGTTTTTTCTCAATACAAGGTTTGTTTTTAGGCTATTCTCAATTTAAAGCTTACTTTTTTAGTTAATTTCTCATTGTAAGTTTTACCTTTCAACATAAATATGTGAACAAAAATATTATTACTATTATTTTTCTTGTAATATATATTTTACATACTTATAATAAAGAATAATAAATATATTATATAAAATTACATTAAAAGAAAATTAAACTATATAAACTACAATGATGCAAAGAAATAATGATGATTTTTAAAAATTGATAATTTGAAAATTATTCAATTGAAATATTATTTTTATTAATAATATAAATACGTAATAAAACTAAAAAATGATATTTAAATAGTGTTGCCTTTATTTTAGTTTTTCAAGATTTTAACTTTTCTTTTTTGATGCAAAAGTTGGTACCAAACCATTATTGGCTGAAAATATAGTTAAATATTGTTTTCTAGTTTTATTATATATTTATATTATTAATAAAAATAATATTTCCATTACATGTTTTTCAAATTTACTTATCAATTTTTTAAAATAATCATTATTAAAATTTTGCATAAATATAATATATATAGTTTCATTTTCTTATTAAGAAAATTTTACGTATTTATTATTTCTTATTATAAGTATGTAAAATACAAATTAAAAAAATAAATTTTATATTCACGCAACTATATCATAAAATAAAGATAATTAGTTCACATATTTATGTGAAAAAATAAAGTTAGTTAGGTCTTACAATGAGAAGTTAACTAAAAAGTGAGTCCTAAATTAAGAATAACTTACAAGTAAGTCTTATATTAAGAAACTAAAAAGTGAGTCCTAAATTAAGAATAACTTACAAGTAAGTCTTATATTAAAGAAAGAATAAAATTCAAGCCCATTTGGACTTGTAATGGAATTTCCCCACATATTCAATTCCTTATCGCATTTGCATATTCCGAGTGACAATTATTAATTTATTATGTACGACAAACGTTAGGGGTGATTGTTTATGAAATAATTTGTTCAAAATGAATTATTTTGGTTAACTATAGTTAATTTTGAAAAATGTGATATGCTTAGTTGTTAGTAGAATTTTAAGAATGTATAATAATAATATTTAAAATAAAATGATTAAAATTGATTTAATGTAAAAGTAGGAGATAAATGATTGGTAGGTAAAATTATGTGAGTGGATGAATAATGAATTGAAGTTGATGTGATGTGTAAGAATGATTGTTTTGTATTATTTAATTATATAAATAATATTACAAATAGTGAGATTGAGTTATAATTAGTTAAATTTTAAGTATAAAATAAATGAAAATTGAAATAATTCATAAACAATAAATCCCGAAAACTTTGTCACACGGCAAATAGCGAACATACGATAAATCGCGGAACGGAAAACGACAACCCTCTTGGCTGTGACGTGGGCCTCCTCACCTCGCATCGCCCTTCTATTCACCTTCCAAGAAATGAATTCCCCATCTTTCCTAATTCTTGCTTTACATGCTTCTCCTCAATTTTTCTGGTAACTTACATTTTCTTAAGAATGATTCAAAAGCTTCGTATTTATCTTTTCTTAAGAAAATCGGTTTGTTTAATCGCTCTCTCCTCTGTTAATTTTGCACAAGAATGGTGAACCCACGACCAGTTGATGAGGTGGATAATGCCGCAACAGAGTATAAAGCAATGGGAACACCTTCAAATGCAGCATCTCAGGTTTTTCTAAGAATATCTAATATACTTATTTTGTTGATAGGCGCTTTGAGTTGATGGCTCTTTTTAAATTTTTCCAATTTTAGAAGTTCTGTTGTTGAATGCAGAAAGATGTGTTCTTTGTGGCTTAAAATGTTGTTGTTATTGGGGATAGTTTAGAGATTCATTGGTTCTTACTTTTCTGTAAGTTGTCTAGTTTTAAGGTTTAAAGCTAGTCTTGCGAGAAAACCAGAAAAATTGAAAAGAGGAAGANCTCTTCTTTTCCTTAATGGTTGTGAATAGAAATGTTTTGCAGGCTTTGTAACTTTGTTCAGTACTCTGAACTTGTAGGAAATTACTTCACTTACCATTGCTTTTCCCATATTATATTTGAGAAGATTCTCTCTGTTAGAAGGAATTACTAGTTGTTAATTATGCACGTAATATATACCTCTTGCTCTTGTCAGAAGATAAACTTTTTTCTTGTTTTAATTATCTGATGAGGTTTTCTATTATTTGGGGCTAATCCATATTGGCAATTCACGATTGTTTGTACATCATATTATATATTTTAGTGTTTCATTCACCTAAACACCTATCGCTTTATTATTTAAATCTTTGATCGGTGAGGTAACAGTTGTCAGTCAGATATCATTAGAGCTCAAACTTTTATTCAGTTAATTAGATTGTTTTATCTATTGTGAAGAGAATGAGAAAGATAGATGTTGTATCCCGTCTGGTGTATGCTGAACTTTGTTTCACGTTTCGTTAACTTGTCTGTTATTGAGGATCATTATATTAATGCCTGTGTTCTTAATACCAAATATTTCAGTTCATTTGGTTCTTGCATCCCAGTCTCTCCTGGCTACTTGTTTCAAAACTTATTCATTTTTTCCTCATTCTTGTAATTACATTTCGATCATAAGAATTCATGACTTTATATACTTATATTCGTGCATTCAGACTAACCCGAAAAACCGTGAGTCCCGGAATATGGCTGCAAATACAGAGCCAAACCCTAGCACGAGACATTCAGACCTAACCCTTCAAATACCTCCAAAGCCTGCAGGTCTTTTAAGCAGCCGCAGTGGAAAAAGTTTGCTCCAATCTCCAGGAGTCTCGAATGGAAGTTTGTCTGCAGCCGGGTTTTTACGGGCTTTAAGCTTTAAAAGGGGGGGCAATGTGTCGGTGACTGAAAGGAGCTCTCTTCTAAATCGAGAGCCAAGGACAGCTGTCGAAAGCTCGGCCGTCTCAAATAGTATAAATTGGAAAAGGTGTACTTCACTTCCAGTGACTCCCGCCTCCAATTTTTCCCCTTCAGTTACAGCTCCATCCTCGATAAGGACTCACAGCGAAAGGCAAAGGCCAAATGTAATTTCACATTTTTTACTGTTTTTTACTTTCTGCAGCATCTTGTTTATTATCCATTGTGCTTATTGGTAGACATTTCCTGAAAGGTGGATGTATTGTTATTGTTTTCATGTCTAGGGTTTATTAGAAAAACTACCTCGAGTTTCGGTATAATTTTGAAAGAAATGGACAATGAAAGAGTAATGGTAATATCTTTTGAAATCACAAATACTCTCTTGAGTGAGTTTGTGAACTAAATCCAAAGACTAAACATTAAAGGTGTGTTTGTAGTTTATTAAGGAGCATTCGTTATGGTTAAAGATAACTGTT